ACGAGACGCGAGGGGGGGGGGGGGGGGGGGAAGAAAAGCCGCTTGCCAGCATGTGCTTTCGGCCACAGCCGGTCTCTCCCAAAGCAAGGTCACCTCCTCCCACGCTGGGGATGAACCTGTCCTTAACCCTGTCTTCGCTGCATGGCTCCCGTGCCACCCCTTCCCCACACGGCTGGTGGGGAGACCTCAGCTCAACTCAGGGGACCACTCCCCATGCCTTCCCCGACCTTCCCCCCCTGCCACACTCACCCTCGCCATGATTTCCTGGGCTGGGAAACACCTTGCCCGCAGCAGCACCGCAGTCCCCAAATGCCACAAGGGTGAGGCACAGCCCCCAGGGGATGTCCCCACGGGGCACTGTAGGTCCCCAAATGTGATGCCAACCCTGGAGCTCAAACCCACAGGGGCTGGGGGGGTGTCTCAGACACACAAAGGGGCTCAAACCCATGGGAACAAGAGGGACTCAGACCTGGGGGGGGGTTGGGGGCCAAGAGGGTGGAGGGAGGGGGCTTGCACCCACATTGTGGATCAGATCAGTGGAGGGGTAAAGGGGGCTCAGACCCTTTTGAGGAGGGCTCAGGCGCATTAGAGGGGCTCAGACCCATGGCTGAGAGGGGGGTGCAAGAAGGGCTCAGACCTGCCGAGGACTCAGATCACTGAAGGGGCCAGGGGAGCTCGGACCCACAGGGGCACTCAGATGTGGAGAGGGTACAGACCTGCTGGGGGGGTGTGTCAAAACCATAGAGGGGCTCAGACCCAGGGGAGGCTGACTCCAACCCACAGAGGGGCTCAGACCCATATCGGGGAGGGAATCAAACCCATAGAGGGGCTCAGACCCAGGGGAGGCTGACTCCAACCCACAGAGGGGCTCAGACCCATATCAGGGAGGGAATCAAACCCATAGAGTGGCTCAGACCCAGGGGAGGCTGACTCCAACCCACAGAGGGGCTCCAACCCGTATTGGGGAGGGGGTCAAACCCATAGAGGGGCTCAGACCCATATGGGAGGGGTCAACGCCATAAGAGGGGCTCAGACCTATACGGGGGGGGGCTTCAAAGAGGGGCTCAGACCTGCAGGGGGGCAAGGGCAGCTCAGACTCATTAGGGGAGCTCAGACCC